CAAGAGGCTGGGGCCTGGGCCGCCCCACGCGCCTCGAGTGGGGTCCCTCACGGGTGACCCTTGCAGGGGGAAGGGGCGTCCGGGGGATTCCCAAAAGCGGTCCCTGGGTGTGCAGGGGCCCCCGAGTGCCGGGGGTACCTCTGCCTCGCCTTAGGGTACGCGAAAGCATGCTCCGCTGTTCTGGAAGGAAGGGGTCCGCCTTCCCGGGTTGGTCTTACTTGGCCCCCACCTCCTCGTCAGGGCACAAAACTGCTTGCCCTCAACCCAGCCCGGTTTCAGCCCGCTCCCCAGGAAGAAGGGACTTTGGGGAAAAGAAGTCCTTCCTCTTGAGTACGGAAAAGGGACCCTTTTGCTGCCCGAGCGGCCAAGCACTTCAGTGAAACGGGGAGGGTGGGCATAGGAGCTGTGGCTCTCTTTGATGCTTCCGGTTGCTTGAAAGCGTGGTGTTCTATCTTTTTGATGAAGAGAGGAGGATCCCAACCAGTTTTTTGAGTCTTGATGACAACATGGAGGTGACACATGGCTGGTGGGACTAACCTCCCCAGAGCCTGGCGAGGAGGAGGTCCATCGAATGGGAGGACTCGGCCGCCCTTTCCGGAAGCCAGACCCCAACCCCGGGTACTCCCAGTGCCTCCAGGGCAGGGTAGGAGGTCCCGTTAGGTGGCCGCCCGGCTCCGCCCAGTGTGACCGAGGCTTTCTCGCTGCCATGGGATGTTTTAATGTGCGCTTACGTCTGCTTGCCCACTGAGCTGTCTTGATTGAGCAGCTGTACCTGGGGGAGTTGGTGCTGGGTGCCCCATCTGGACAGCCCAAGAGCTTTGGCTCCAAGTGTTAAATAGTTGAGAAGTGAAAAGATAGATACTTAGTTTTTGGTTTGTGTTTCTTTGGAAAACTTGTAATACTTCCACAAACAGACTCTGGTGTTAGGTTTGTTGGGTAGGTGTTTATTTGAAGTTGCTCTTCCTGTGGCTAAATTGTAACATGTGCTCCAGAAGGGAAGGGTCTTTTGTTTTCCTCAAATGAACATTTCAGATGCCTTGAAGCAAAAACTGCCCTGAGATTTGTTTCACAACTGCTAGGGTCCTGAGGGTGAGGGAGATGATGCTCTTGAGCATCGCAGAAGAACCCGGCTACATTGTGGAGATGACCGGAGGACCCTCAGTGGCACTGAGCTTCCGTCCCTTTTACCCCAAGTTAGTGTGGGTTACAGTCTGGCCACAAACCATTTGGGACCAAATCCCATCACGAAAGGGAGTTAACTGTTGAACTCTGAGACCTCAGGTGGAAATTCCTTCTAGAATGTCTCAACCATCAAGTTCTTCCCTAAATTAGGGGGAACCTGACTCTCAGTCCGAACAGCAAAGAGAACAGGAGAGATTCCGAGACGTTGATCTGAGCCCCACGGAAGTTGCTTTTTGGTGCTAATTCTTCTCTGCTTACAACTTCATTTCTAGATCGCAGCCAAAATTGGAGGCGATGCTGCTACAACAGTGAATAACAGCACTCCTGACTTCGGTTTTGGGGGCCAAAAGAGGCAATTGGAAGATGGAGGTAACTACTTGCTGGGAAGGAGGATAGAGAGTGAGGTGCCTTTGTTTGAATGTGGTTCAGAGTGGGGGGGAGGGCAGCCTGCTGCTGTTCAGTCTTTCAAAACCTCAGCAATCCCAGCTTTGTTCATTCTTTTTGTTGGGCCACCATCCTGAGGTATCAGGTGGCTGAGAGGAAAGCAGATTGACTGTGGCTGGGTCCAAGTTGTAAGTTCTCAAGATTGTTTCTCCCCTTCTGGTAGGCTAGAGAAATGCTGGTACTGTTATTGAGGCCCCACATAAGTAAAGTTTGGGTGGCCAGCAACTTCTTTCAGCCAGAACCCCGGCTGCCCAAGGCAGGTCTGATCCTGAGCTAGAAGGACTCAGATGCCACTATCATTGTTTCCCTGTTATAAAGGGCTTTTTTACCCTTAGTGCCGGTTGATGAAGTCTGGCCTCACTTAGGGGTTGGTCTCTCCTGTCTCTGCTCTGATGTTGGGGGGCAGCAGAAGAGGGGATAGTTGGCCAGGAAGTGTGGCACCAGCATCAGATTTAAGGAGGCTGTGGGTGGGTGGGTGGGTGCTGCATCTGACATCCTCTCTCTTTCACAGACCAACCGGAGAGCAAGAAACTGGCCTCTCAGGGAGACTGTAAGTCTGTTGGGTAATGCAGGCAGAGGGCAACTTCGGGATATTAGGAGGTTGTTTGGAGCTGGGAGCACTGCGCACCTGTCCTTTGTGGAGGCTCTAGGTGTTCATCATCTGGGCTTCATGATCTTTGGGGTTCCTATAGCCCCTGGAAATTGAGGCGGAAATACCCAGTGCCTATGCTGTTGTGAGCAGGGTCCACGATGCTCTAGTGCTCAGGAGGGCTTAGGCCAGTGGTTCTCAACCTGTGGGTCGCAACCCCTTTGGGGGTCGAACGACCCTTTCACAGGGGTCGCCTAAGACCATCGGAAAACACATACATAATTACATATTGTTTTTGTGATGAATCACTATGCTTTAATTATGTCCAATTTGTAACAATGAAAATACATCCTGCATATCAGATATTTACATGACGATTCATAACAGTAGCAAAATTACAGTTATGAAGGAGCAACGAAAATAATTTTATGGTTGGGGGTCACCACAACATGAGGAACTGTATTAAAGGGTCGTGGCATTAGGAAGGTTGAGAACCACTGGCTTAGACTATAATAGTGTTAGTCGCTCCTATGTAGGTAGGAGCACCTGGGGTCAGTAGTGTTCTGGGTTCCAGAGAGAAACCATGCCAATCTTTCCTTTGGATTTTCTCTCTGTAGCCATCAGTTCTCAACTTGGACCCATCCATCCTCCCCCCAGGTAAGTTGTGATTTGGAGAAAATGTCGTTTGTCTGTCAGCTGTCTCTGGCCTTTCTTACTGTCTTGAGGGAGAACTCTGTCTGGGAGCCCTGCACCATTCAGGGATGGTCCACCAAAGAGTGGACTGAGGGGTAGACGGTGCTGCCTTTATCCCTGTACTTACCTGTCTTCAAGGTTGGAGGTAGGACAGGGTTGTGGCATTTCCCTGTAATGACAGAATGGTGATTTCTGCACCATGGTGCTTCCTTTGTTGGGGGGGTGGGGGGGGGGAACTCTCCAGAAACACACACATCTGTCTACCTCGAAAAGGCTGGTTTTCTCGCCCATCCTCTGCAAATGCTTGTTCCCTAAGAGCGGATGGAGCCTAGGATGGAGCCTACCTTATTTCCTCCCCCACCCACCCCATGACTTAAATGAATCTGACATAGAATCCTTTGTGAAGGACCACATTGTTTCTTTTATTTTTTTAATGGGCCAACATTTTTGTAAAATAAAATAAAAATGATTTGCTAGGTCCCTAGCTGGTTTGGCTCAGTGGCTAGAGCATCGGCCTGGGGACTGAAGGGTCCCGGGTTCGATTCTGGTCAAGGGCACATGCCTGAGTTGTGGGCTCAGTCCCCAGTAGGGGGCGTGCCAGGAGGTGGCTGATCTGTGATTCTCTCTCATCATTGATGTTTCTGTCTCTCTCCCTCTTCCTTCCTCTCTGAAATTAATAAAGATGTATTTAATTTAAAAAGATGATTTGCTTGGGAAATGAAATTTAAAAGGTGCAAAATTGTTCCTTTTTTTGTTTGTTTTTAAAGTCAGTGGTTATAAGTTGACTTAATCAGATTGCTATAAAAGTGTCTGGGTGCTCATTCTCCCCGAGTTAGGGACAGCACTGGTCCGGGGGCCACACTGCCTCAGAGCAGGCCTTTCATGGCCCACGCGGGGAAACTTGGCCTCAAGAAATGGCGTGCCCTGCTGTGGGACAAGATCCCCAGCCTCATGCTGCTAGATTTTGCATAGGCTTGTGAGGTCTTGGTCCCATCATAGGGAGCAGGGTCAGAGGCCAGAAACATCAGGGGCCCTTTTCTCCGGCAGATCCTTTGCTTTCCCATTTGAGACTGACCTTCATTGTCTCTTTGCAGGACTTCAATGACAGAGGAGTACAGGGTCCCAGACGGCATGGTAGGACTAAGTGAGTGTGGGTCACCGTGCTCTGGGGTGTCCATTATATCCACAGCCCCGCCCTGGGACAGTGTCCTGGAAGCCCCTGCCAACCCAGAAGCCTCTGGTCTGAAAGGGCTTCCCCTGTTAACCTGTACTTTCTGGACTGGAAGAACTCCTTTGAATATTCATGTGGCCCCACCATCGCCTCGTTTACTTGGTGCTGGCTCCTTCCATCAGCTCTGCTTTTTTTTCTCTTTTGTATTCCATTTTAAAGTAACTCACTTTTCTCCTTTCTTCACCACCTAGTCATTGGCAGAGGAGGTGAACAGATTAATAAAATCCAGCAAGATTCAGGCTGCAAAGTCCAGATCTCTCCAGGTATGAGTGAGCCAGTTTCACGCCAGAATGAATGCAGGGGCTGGGCTCTTTGCACTTTAGTATTCCTCTCACTTTTAACTTGACCGTTAGACATGAAACATATTTGTTTGTTTTATTTATTGAGTGCCTTCTGTGTGCCAGGCTCAGTGTAGTATCTCCAGTGTACAGCACCATGGGTGTAGCTCTGACTTTTGTTTTCATTTTATGGGTGCGGGGAGAACTGAAGGGGAAGATCTAGAATTGAACACAGGTTGCCTCATTCCAGGTCTGCGGTGAACCATTATGTTAAGTTGCCACCTAAACATCTAGTGGAAACCAGACAGGAATATGGGAGGCAGGAAGGTGCATTAGAAAGAAAAGTTTTGAGAATGGGCCTGGGTTTGAATCCCAATTCTGTCTGCTCCTCTGTAGGAGTCTGCTTCTGAGGCCTTGTTCTAGCAGAGTGAAGTTTGTTAACTAGAGGGTGTGCATGTGATCATTAGTGGTGGCAAAAATGGTCCAGGGTTTGAACCTTCCAGAACCTGCCTCTCCTACCTCATCTTTTCCCCTAAAAATTCTGTCTCCCTTGTGGGACTTGAAGCTTCCTGACCTTGGCCTTGCATAGGGCAGCCTCCCAGGTGTTTGGGGAGGTAAATTGATTTGTTAGGCTGCTGAATGGTGGCAAAAGTGGCTGGTGATTGTTCTGGAAGTTTCCTCATCTCCACTAAAAGCCTTTCCAGGGTCTGCAGGCCTGGAAAGGCACTGACCCTATCTCCTCTTCTCTCCAGACAGTGGTGGCCTCCCTGAGCGCAGTGTGTCCTTGACAGGAGCCCCAGAATCTGTCCAGTAAGTGCCTGGCTGGGCCTGTCATTGTGATGGGAGTGGGCAGAAGTCCTCTTGATCCCTTTGAAAATTGGGGGTGACTCCCACACCATGTCCTTGCAGCCAAGCCCCAGGGACCGTAGTACTCTCTTCCTCATCATCTGTCAAACGCATGTGTTGGGAGTCACCTTCTTTGCTTTGAGCTTTAGGGAGGGGGGGTCACCAGGCCAGTATTCTTTCAAGTGACAGCACCCCATTCTTCCCCTTCCCAGGAAAGCAAAGATGATGCTGGATGACATTGTCTCTCGGGGTCGTGGGGGACCCCCAGGACAGTTCCATGACAACTCCAATGGGGGCCAGAATGGCACAGTGCAGGAGATTATGATCCCCGCGGGGAAGGCTGGCCTTGTCATCGGGAAAGGCGGGGAGACCATTAAACAGCTACAGGTGAGGGAATGGAGACAGAAGGTTCCATCCATCCCAAGCAAGTTTCCATCCTGTATCTGGTCTGCACACCACCACCACCCCCAGCTGCTTTCCCAGTCTTCTATCCTTTTTGATCATGGACCCTGCCCCAAATGCACTAGTCGCCAGAAAGTTATTTGAAAGTCCTACACTGACAGTCGACATTGGTTTTAAAGGAACGTGCTGGAGTAAAGATGATTTTAATTCAAGATGGTTCCCAGAATACAAATGTTGACAAGCCCCTTCGGATCATTGGAGATCCTTACAAAGTGCAGGTGAGCGTGCCCTGTGGTGGTGGTGAATAGTGGGTTTTAGAGAAGGGAGAGCTGGTGGGCTGCCTGGAGATTTGAATAAAAGTGGGAAGGTTTGCAAAAGCACTGGCTTTGAAGTCATCCCAGGGTTCACGTTCTTGTGTTGAATTCTCCCTTCAACAATGGTTTGTATATGAGCAAGTGGCCTAACTGATCCTCCATCTTCTCATGTGGAAAGTGGAGTTGCTGGCCATTCCTGCCTCTCCGGGTGGCAAATATAGAGCTCGGCACCTGTGTCAGTCCTTAGCTTAAACCTGTGACCCCTTGGTTTATGGGAGGCTGGGGGTGCAGTGGGGCAGCAGGGCTTGCCATGTGCACCATGCCCTGTGTCTTTTCAGCAAGCCTGTGAGATGGTGATGGACATCCTTCGGGAGCGTGACCAGGGCGGCTTTGGGGACCGGAATGAGTATGGATCCCGGATTGGCGGGGGAATTGATGTGAGTGTGGGCTTCCCCCAGAAGATGGAGAGCTATGCGGGGGGTGATGGGCTCCTTGTGTCCAGTGGGCAGCAAAGCTATGGGGACAGAACTCAGCTGACCCTCTCCCTGCGTCTCCCTCAGGTGCCAGTGCCTAGGCATTCTGTTGGCGTGGTTATTGGCCGGAGCGGAGAGATGATTAAGAAGATCCAGAATGATGCTGGTGTGCGGATCCAGTTTAAACAAGGTCAGGGCCAAGTCGTGTGATGTGTAAGCCAGTGCTGTCCTCTTAAGGTCAACCTGACTGTCCACTGTGGGCAGCTTGGCACCATGGTTAGCATGCTGTGCCTCTTTACTGTTGGATCTTGTCTTTCTCCTCTATGGGACAGCCCCGTGAGAGAGTTGGTGATGGGCACACTTTCTGTGTTTTCCTCTCCTGTTGAATCTATCTCATCCCTCTCCCCCACCAGTACCCTGTCTCAACTAGGCAGCCTGGGTAACCTGGGCACTCTGGGCTGGATCAAATCACTGACCCAACTCTGGGCTCCTGCCAAGCCTGTGAGAGTCTGAGGGCAGGTCTGTGGGGAGGAGGGACCCCTTTCTTGCTTTTCAGAGATTTGTTGTTCTTAGTTCTAAATGCATCTGTTAGTTCTGGGGGTTCTAGTTGCAGAAAGAAGCCTCAGCTACCTCCCTGCCCAGCTGGTCAGCTTTCTCCTCTGGGGACGTGGGGCCTGCCTGCCTCCTTCCTCACTCCTGACTATGTGGAGTGAGGCGAGCGGCACTGAGTCTGAGATGTCTCAGACACCTAGCTTGGCACAGTACTGCCCTGAGGAGGTGTGGTGGTTTGGAGTTGTGCTTCTCTTTTAAATCCGTGTCTCCGCTCTCTGGATGCTGGCCTCAGATGATGGGACAGGTCCTGAGAAGATAGCTCACATAATGGGGCCCCCAGACCGGTGCGAGCATGCGGCGCGGATTATCAATGACCTCCTCCAGAGCCTTAGGGTAGGTGGCATGGGGTAGGTGAGAAGAGCTGGTGGGGGCAGAGTAATGTGCGTGGCTTCCTACACTTATTCTCCATCTCCCTGTCTTGCAGAGTGGTCCCCCAGGTCCTCCAGGGGGTCCTGGCATGCCCCCAGGGGGCCGTGGCCGAGGAAGGGGTCAAGGCAACTGGGGCCCGCCTGGTGGGGAGATGACCTTCTCCATCCCCACTCACAAGTGTGGGCTAGTCATCGGCCGAGGTGAGGAGGCCTCTCCCTGTCCTTCGTCCCTCACCCACTCATTCCTCCCACCCCTCCCTTCACTGCCTGTGTCCCCTGCAGGTGGCGAGAACGTGAAAGCCATAAACCAGCAGACGGGCGCCTTCGTAGAGATCTCCCGGCAATTGCCGCCCAATGGGGACCCCAACTTTAAACTGTTTATTATCCGGGGCTCGCCCCAGCAGATTGATCACGCCAAGCAGCTCATCGAGGAGAAGATTGAGGTGGGCTCATGGAGGGCTCTGGGAGTCTGGCTCCTGACTCCTGACTCCCACCACTGACCTTGTCACATTCTCCTTCCAGGGTCCCCTCTGTCCAGTTGGACCAGGCCCAGGAGGACCAGGCCCTGCCGGCCCCATGGGACCCTTCAATCCTGGGCCCTTCAATCAGGGGCCACCAGGGGCTCCCCCTCAGTGAGTACTCTTCAGCTGCCTGGGATTTGTGACATGGGTGTCAATATGCTGGCAAGAAAAGCGACACATCTTTGAGAAGCAATGATTGTTCGGGCCCAAACACAATCCATTCCAGCTTTGTTTCACAGACACCATCTTTTATAAGATGCAATAGGTGTTGACCTTGGTCTCCATCCCATGCACAAATCTGCATGTTGATTTTAGGGTACTTTGTTTCATAGCCTGGGTCTTACGCATTTAGTTGTCTCACATCTTTCCTTGGGCCTTCTTTCTACTAGCCATCTCTACCCTGCAAAGGAACAACCTCCGCTCATGTGTTCCCCATCTTTCTCATCCTACAGTGCTGGGGGTCCCCCTCCTCACCAGTACCCACCCCAGGGCTGGGGCAATACCTACCCCCAGTGGCAACCACCTGCTCCTCATGACCCGAGTAAGTAAGGCTACCCATTTGAGGGGCAGCGCAGGGTTTGGGCCCAGGATTGGCTTCTGTGTCAACTCTCAGCCTGCACTGCCCTCCTCTTGCAGATAAAGCCGCTGCAGCCGCCGCAGACCCCAACGCAGCCTGGGCTGCCTACTACTCACACTACTACCAGCAGCCCCCAGGCCCCGTGCCCGGCCCCGCACCTGCACCCGCAGCTCCACCTGCCCAGGGCGAGCCCCCTCAGCCCCCACCTGCTGGCCAGTCAGACTACACTAAGGCCTGGGAAGAGTATTACAAAAAGATCGGTGAGTGTGTGGGCTGCTGCATGGGCTCAAATCAGCCAGAAGGGCAGAAGAGGGCAGCTGTGTCCCCTTGCTGTCCTCTGACCTTGGTGCCCGCCTCCTGCAGGCCAGCAGCCCCAGCAGCCTGGAGCTCCCCCACAGCAGGACTACACAAAGGCCTGGGAGGAGTACTACAAGAAGCAAGGTGAGTTATACAAAAAAATAGTCAGAGGGTGCAAGTACAGTATAGGGAACGTAAGTCATTATGAATTTGTACGATGACTTAGTATGATATGATGATCACATCCTAAGGAATTTATATGGCGAATCACTTATACACTTGAAACTAATATAACATTGTTGTACTTCAACATAATTTTTTTTAAAGCAGGCTGAACTGGTGGGGCCTGAGGCAAGGCAGGGCCAGGCCCCCACTCTTGACCAGCCACACTCACCCTCTCCTCCCTGACAGCTCAAGTGGCCACTGGAGGGGGTCCAGGAGCTCCCCCAGGCTCCCAGCCGGACTATAGTGCCGCCTGGGCTGAATACTACCGACAGCAAGCCGCTTACTACGGACAGACCCCAGGTCCTGGTGGCCCCCAGCCTCCACCCACACAACAGGGACAGCAGCAGGCAAGTGGGAATTGCCACCCTCCTCCTCCTCCTTTTTCCTTCCAACCCCCAGCCACCGTCCATCCTGCCTTAGTGGGTAGCGCCGGAAATCCCTTCCCCTGCGGGGTGTGTCCTTGATGCCTGCAGCGGGGGCCGTGTGGCTGGAGGTCTCCGGGAGTCCCCATGAGCCAGGGGAAGTGTGCGCTGGGTCCAGAGGTTAAAGAAGAGGCCTCCCTCCGCCGGCTCGCTTGTTCCTGTGTAATGCTGTCGTGATGCTGGGGGCGAGTGCGAGACAGATAAAAGGTGGAACTGTTGAACTGGTGGGTAGTCCTGGGGGTGGGGGCAGCCCGGGCACTGCACTTTGGTCACCATCCTGGCTGCTAACTCAAAATCTGGCCACTTGGGAAGAAAATGGATATTTTTTCCCCTCTGCATTACTTTTTTGGCTTTTGTTCTTTTTGTTTTTAAACCCATGGTCTTCTCCCCGACGGTGTCCAAGTGACTGTTTGCAGGCAGCCCCAGTGTGGGGTGGCCCTGGCTCCGGCAGGGATGCAGGAAGCCTGCAAAGGGGCTCGGCCCCTTGGGCTCAGCCTCTGCTGTCACGCCCGTGTCTGTGTCCCGGTCTTGTCTGTGAAGTGGGCATGATGATCGCTGCCACGTTCCAACCTACCTCACAGGGGTGTTGTGGGGACACCGTGATCTCTGAGATTGTTCATGTTGTGATGCGCCGGGAGCCACCCACCACCTTCTCCCTTGCAGACCCTGACTTCGCTTCTCTTTCTCCCGCGGCCCCTGCTTCTCTCCTTCTTGCCTTTGTGTCGCTCTTTCTCCTCCTCCATCAAGGAGCCAGTCTGACTTCAGCTGAGTCCCTGGAGCACTTGACTAGACAGTTACAGACACATCCTGCTAGCCATTGGCTTGGGAGAGGGGCTTCCTGGCCCCCTCCGTACTATCCCCCAGTCTTCCGCCTCTGCCTCCCCCTCCCCGTAGTGACCAATTCCTATCTCTTCCCTCTCCGCAGGCTCAATGAATCGAATGAATGTGAACTTCTTCATCTGTGAAAATTCTTTTATTATTTGTTCTGTTTGGGGCTTATTTTCTGGTTTTTGCTTCTTTTTTTTTTCCCTCCATTTGTTAGGCGAGAGAGCGATGGCTGACATGGGGGTAGGGTGCAGGGGAGCCCTCTCTGAGTGGCTTGGAGGTCATGCCCGGCTCTCACTCTCTCGCCCATTCTGTGTCTCACATTCTTTCTTTTTCTTTCAAAACTGGGATCCTTCATGTTGAGCCAGCCATAGAAGATAGCGAGAATTAAATCTCTGCCAAAAAAAAAAATTTTCTTTAATAAGAAACACAATAAGTGAAACAAAACCTATAAAATTATATATATATATAAAAATCTCTATATCCCACCCCCGTCGTCCCTAAAACTGCTTCTTTCAAGGAAAATTTATTTTCTCCCTGCCACCCTTGGCCCTCTTCATGTTTTTAAAATAAACTTTTAAAAAGGAAAAAAAGTCACTCTTGCTTTTTTTTTTTTTAGTTAGAAATGGAA